CAATTGGAACGACAGTAAATTATTTAATTAAATTATTTTAATAATTATTTAAATTAAATTATTTATTATTATTAAAATTATTGTATTATTATTAATTATTGTATATTACTATGTAAATTATATAAGCCCTCCCATGCTTATGAACGAATATAAGCCCAGGGCTTATATTCATAAGTGTACCATAGAACCCGGAAATGTTATGCTACTGGCTTATCTTACGTGAGAATAATAAACAATTTTCTAATTAACTTCATAGTAAATCAATAATGGCAGCATGGCAATATTTCTAGGTGTACTTGGTTTTTAGGAAGAGAACAATTACAATCTCATGAGTATATATGTTCTCATATTTTCCAGTTTGAAATAGAACTTTTAATTTCCCCAGTACCTGGATTAAAGAATAAAGATGCTTGTAATTGTAGATGGGTTGATATTGTAATGGGTCATTCCAGAAAACATCCATACCTCCCCCACAGAGGAAATTGGAAGTTACCCCCACCTACCCCTTCGGATGTCCTAATACACTCACTATTATCAAAAAGAAATTTTTCTCCCCTACCCCTTCGGACAGCAGAGATTTTCTCCTTGGGGGCAAGGTGAATAAATAAAGTCTTGTGTTGTGCTCCTGCCCTGGGGGTGGGAATGTTTACAAAGAGTAGCCATGGTGGCCGAGAGGGGATGAAGCATGTAGGTATCCCGGGGTTGTAGTTCCAGGGATGGTGGATGGTAGTTGCATAATATGTAACAAATCGGGGTTTAATTTCAAGTTCACCTTTCATTTGGCATTTTGGCCTTATTCTAAAAATTGCCACCTTCGGTCTCATAGCAAAATTGAAAATTATATGCAAAAATTCTTCCTTCCGTCAAACCTAGGAGAATTCAGGAAATATATACATAAATCTTCCAACTCTTTCACCTGTATAGCTGCATTGTTTTCTACTCCACACGTCACAATCACATTATAATTTAATATCATGCATGACCTTCAGGTGACGAAGTTCCACACAAGTAGTGATGTTTGTATTTCATACAATTGTTGCTGTGCATCGCTATCTTTGTATTTCTGACTTTGCCCCATAATAGGATTTATTTGCATTAAGTTTTGAATCGACAATACCGTACGAAGCCTCAAAAAAGCAGTTTAAAAAGAACGTAAACATATATATTGTATTCATACTGGTTCAAGTAAATAGAGAATAATACACGAGTGTGCGGAAATACCAGATTTATTTCGAGTGTTGAGCATGATATCTCACGAGTGAGCGCAGCGAACGAGTGAGATATCATGCTCAACACGAGAAATAAATCTGGTATGTCCAAACACCCATGTATTTTTCTGTTTATTATATAAATAAAATTCAGTGAAAAACGATAAAACGTCCGTGGCAATGCGTTTTACAACAAATGATACAGATGTATTTTCACACGTAAAAATATTGTATTTTTTACGTGTGTTTAAATACGATTTTTCTCAGTGGCCAAAATCTCTATAATTTTATAACACTTATGTTTATATAATAAATAGCAGTTTTGGCTTTTTTAGTAAAATTCTTCAATTTTCCTCAAAACGTAGGGTTATTTATGGCTAAATTGGGTAAAAATTGGCAGCTCGTGACATTAATATTCTATTTTGTGGCTATTGACGACGATCAGAGATCCACTATATCCACCAAAAATGCGTGCGGAAACCTACACTCGCCCTGTTGTGGTGACCCTGCCCTAGTTGGCAAAGCTAATAAAAAATAAAATAATTTTGTTTATATCTTTGGCTAAAAAGCAGAGATGAAGCAGGGGGAAAAGTTAGTGAAAAACACAGAAAGGGCAAGGCACTGCCATGGAACACAGTCCATTACACAATGCACATGCATTAGCCAATCAAATTGCCGGTCTGTTATATCCCACTTATATTATAAATACATTTATTAACAGCTGCGAAAAATGCAACTATAGGTCCCTAGCAGGAATCGAACCTGCGGTCCTGCAATTCCGATGCTGTGCCCTACCCAACTTAGCTCGGGGGCATACACCCCCCATTCATCAATCGCCAACAATTTTTTGGGGGGAGGGGAATATTAATTAGGGAATGTTGTCGGCAAATGCAATGCTACACCCTCTTCTTTAGCCTCTTTGCTATGGCCCTGACTGAGCTACAGAGTCCAATTGCATGTCAATTAAGCTCGAACCACTACTGCTATGGAACCTATAGTTGCATTTTTCACAGCTGTCCTTGTTAGGCCTAATAAATGTATATAAATTTACACTCGATAATATCCATCTACTAGACCCCTGAATATCTAAGCCTAGCCAGCCATTATGGATGCTTTCAAGGGGGTGAAAACCTCTCCTTGTTGCACTGGCTAGAAACATGGCGGCTAACATGTCAAGTCTGACTTCTGTAAGTGTTAGACCCTGGCCACCATATTAATTTAAGCACGCAGGAGTCTGGTTCAACCGTTACAGCTTACCTGTTACAGCTTACCTGTTACAGCTTACCTTGCAGGTGGCATAAATGACAGAATGATGTAATATATTATAAAGAAGAGATGGGAGTAGCGGGGGGGCCATGAGGGATATTTGTGCAATAAGGAAATTAAATTTCTGACTCTCAACAAGTATTGAAGAAATACTGTATCTGCCAAATGAAGTAATACAAGTTGCATGCAGATCGAGGAGTGTAATGGTTGATATTGAAATATTGCAAGAATAAAATGGTATTGTATGTCAAACATAAACAATACATTAATGCAAACCCTCGGTTCCTAGTTCAGCCACAAAGACTTTTAGAATTTCCACAGTTGATTACATCAATAAAGAAGTAGATGGCAAAGTTGGAAGTCTTGTTTTAATCCCTGCCCCGTCTACACGAAAACTGAATGTTAAAATCCCTTTCATTTTTTAAAATTTTCGGAAATCACTTTCATTGTTTCAAACAACATGGTATTAATGCCTGGTTCACACTGGTCGTAAGAATTGGGGATTTCCATTGTCTGTGATCATTGGTGTGTAAAATGCTTTGTCTGTCGGAAAAGAATACAATAGATCGCCGATGAATTACGACCAGTGTGAACCAGGCTTAAAGGAGATCCATAAGACTTGAAACAAAGCAACCTTCAATACAACCAACAGAGAGTGGAACTCTCTCATAATCCTTTCATGTTTTGACAAAAAAGACTCAAGAGAGTTGCGTCAACTTTAACTCTCTCATATTAGTTGAAGGAAATATTGGGAGAATTAATAACTTGGGTGTGATATGTTAACTCTCCAGTTTAATAACTCTCCTTTAGTCATACCCCTTCAATGTCATATTGTGCATAATTATATTTAATGTTTTCAATTAACCCAAATAATAGTGCCTTGTAATAATTATTTCCTTCAGTTCCATTCTGGTATATCTGGACCATGAGCTAAATAAATGTACAGAGAAGGAAGAAGAATCTCTTTCTAGCTTGGTATGTGATTTTAACATAAACTGTTTTTGAGAGTTGCAGGGTTTTAGCTAGGATTTCCAATTTTGGGCGTGTTTTAAAATTTTTTGGGAGTGTACTTATCGAGTGCCGTAGGCACAATAATTCTGGGGGCTCCGGGAACACACCCCCCCCCCCAGGAAATTTTTAAAGACTTGCATCTCTGAAATGACGTTTCCAGCATTCTAAAAGCACATTTTATGAAAGTGTTCAGGTTTTTAAAAGACCTTATTAATGTTTGTTCGTTCACTGCAACCAGGTATATCAATCATGTTTCGCTCGCTAACCAGAGTAGTGAGTGAAACAAGATCTTATCAATGGTGCATTTGGTGATAAATCACATGCTTACCCAGAATAGCACTAGTGAAAGTTTTATGCATTCCAAAGTTTCAGCCAAAGACTTTTAATGTTTTATCACATAACCTGCTAAATGTGCTAATACCTTCTGTGACCAACAAGGCAACAACACATGTAAAACAGAACTTTTATTCAATTTATACAACATACACTAATACAGTAAATATAGTTTTGGTATCTAGTACCACCTGTGTGGCTTCTCGTTAAATATAGCTAAAGCAGTATCTAAATCAAGGGACTCTCCTGATGTCTTAGAATATGACACTCTCACAAGCTCGTCCAGTATATTTATCCCAAGCCTTGTTCTCAGCTTGGTTTTGACTCTATTCTGAACGCTAAATACACGTTCAGCCTCTGCATTTGAAGGCATCGTTGTCAAGGTCAAGACCATAAGCTTGTATATTTCTAGAGAAGGGAAGAGCAAACATTGTATTCACATTATATGGCAACTGGTAGTATTAGTAAACTGTTTCTAGGATTTAGGAATTTAATATGATGCTAATGGAATAAACGTACGTGGATAGATCATTTTGTTGTCTACATTGCCACCACCAAATAGCTTAGTAAATAATTCTTGCGGTTTGTAAAAACAGAACTTCAGCTGCTCATTTTCGTTTCGATCTTCTCCCCTGTTTTGGTAAACAAGCCGTTTGAAAAACAGGAACTCTTCTTCCGCAGCTTCTGGTTTCACCAAAGCCTGGATGACTTGATTCTCCAAACGCTTAGGTTCGCCATAGAAATCGAGCAGGTTTTTGAGATGGTCATAACCCCATCCTGCGAGTTGCTGAAGGTTTTCTGGGTAAGCAGAAGGATCAAATATCTATAAAATAATGAGACACTAGATACTACGGGATGCTGGATAATAAATAAAAGCTGATTAACTGTTTTTCTATTTGACTTCGTTTTTCAATTTACATTTGAGCTGTTAACCTTGCTAAGGCTTTTCGTCCACCTTATACTACATATATATGTATACTAAAAATATACTGAACTAAAAAACTATTTTTTTTACAATGATTGATATTAACTACCTGAAAAGCAGAAAGTAGTTGAACATTGGGGAACCTTGATGTGATGTTGTTTACCAGGGCATCAATGAATGCTTGCCTGTCTGTCTCAAACTCTTCCAACTGATTCATTCTTTCATTTCGATGAGGATTAGTTTTTAGGTGAACTCCTTCAAAAATTATCTCCAGATCCTTCTTCCATACACCCAAGAAACATCTGAAGATACTTTCCAGGTTGATTCTTCATATCTTGTAAAGTCTCAACAAATATTGGTAGCTAAAGTAATTAAATTGATATTTATTCATCTTAGTTAGTCTCTTATGAATTATAGTAACAACTTTATAAATTTTAGTTACAGTACCTGACTTTGCAATGTAGAAAATGAAATATCTCGATACTGAAAAATTCTGCAGAGGTGATTTGTAGCTCCCACGACGTCACCCAAGAGATGGAGTAGAGCTACATATTTATACGAGGATAGCTTTTCCAAAAGTCCCATCGAAGTAGGCTCATCGTTAGCAGCTTCTTCTTCAAGCAGAATAAGCAGGGGTTGGTAATTATGAATCACTGCCTTTACTGCTTCCCCAACAGACAACCACCTTATATCAAAAATCTGAAAAGAAAACAAGTTAATCATCCAGTTTCCCTCTTCAATGCTCCAGGATCTGCTATATTAATTCATAATATTCATCTATATTAATTCTTACTCGCTTGAACTTTAGATACTTTAAGGATGGTGCAATGTTCTCGTTTCCTTCTTCAGGTGCATTGTCATGATTAATCGCACCTAGCACATCAGCCAAATTTTTAAACTTTTGAAGCCTGTTAGGTGAGTTGTTCACATGCTGGTAAATAGTGCTGAGTATAGTGGATAGTGTATTCACATTCTTTATATCTTTTGCTGCCTTGGAAACAGCAAGGTGAAGTCTGTGGTTAATGCAGTGAATACCAATTAGAAATGGGTTCTCTCGCTGCAGAAGTCCCAATACACCATTCATATCACTTGCCATCACAGATGCTCCATCTATACCTAAACCTGTGAGCTATAGAATGTATTAATGTTGTATAAATTCACAACTGTACTTCATAATCTTTTTAAATATTATTAATAAGAGATCACTAATCTCTGGTCAAATATTTCCTGAGTACTCATTTCAATTATGTAAATGTAATGTACCTTGTTCACAGGAATGCTAAAATCTCCTAGGATTTTCTTGACAGCTTCAACAATTGCTGGAGCAGTGCCGCTTGTAATAACTGATAATTTAAGAAATGAGGTCTTGATCTTCGTTTCGTTGGAGTCGACATATCTAACTACAGCAGCTATATGCTTTTCCTGTGACCTATCTGTGGACTCATCGATACCAAGGCCAATGAAGGGCGAAGAATTAAGGTGGTTGAGCATTTTTCTCAGGAAAACCTGTAATTCCATACAATATATAATTTGACTCCACAACATTAATTAACAATATAACTACTAACTGAAAAAAAACTATTACATACCTCACTTAATGAGTGGAGGAGCTCGTGAAAGGATTCTGGACTTTCCTTTTTAC